CTGAGACAGAAGTAACACTTATCAGACTGTTTCCAATGCACTTTTAATGCGAGACGGCCAAACCGTTGGTTACTACATTTCAGTAATCAAGGTTTATGTCATTTGTGTTCGGTTACGAACACATCTCAAAAATTTTGAGAAATTAAAAAGCAAAAAATCATAATTTTTGGTTTACGGAAAAATGCTAGTCATACAATTTTTATATATGAAAAATCACTAATCATAGACCTTTCATGCAATTTTCTGTACGTATGGAATTGTATGTAAAGTGTATGAATAGCATTTTTCCATATATGGAAATGGTATGACTAGTATTTTTGGTCATCCCGGGGAGGTGTATGTGGGGAGTAGTTGTGCGGACAAATGTGGGGGGATTTTGAGGGGCAGCGGTCCATCTTTCCCCCTTTTTAATCCACAACTGAAAATAAATGAATACAAAAAATTTAATTAAAAAGTTCAATTGTAAAAGCTACTGCAACTGAATATGAAGAAAATATTTTTAAAACATTTGCGAGTGTCGACAATTTTTGGGAAAAAGAGCCATTAAAATCAATTATATTAGTAGAGAAAGGTTGCAGATAACTAAAAAAAAGTCAGAACCACGATCAAATTTCAAAAAAAATTTTTCAATCAGTCCTTCTGATGCTTTACAGAGACTGCCTCAAAAATCACAGAAAAATTGATTGATAAGCAAAGAGTTTGCGTTCGTGAGTTTATGTATTACTTTAGATAAGACACATTTTACAAAAAAAATTTTCATGATTTTTTGCACCTGATTTCTGTACAAATTTTGTTTGTTTGACTTCTGAATAGTAGAAGCTTCATTGATCAACACAAGATTTCTTTTTCTTTATTTAAAAATGTGACATTTTTTCAATTTTTCTGTCTTGTAGATGACAAGAAAACAAACAACTGAACGAGTTTCGAGGGCGGGAAAGAGGATTGATAATGGGATAAAAGAAATTTTGATGAACAGAAACAATAAAATAGAAATTGTTTTCGCGTCGCTTTGTTTTTATTTTTCTGTTTTGTAATTTTTGTGTTTCAATAATCAAAAAAAATTTATTCTGCATGAGAAACTTAGTTGCACTATTTTGACTAATTTTCATGTGAAATGCTAACTTTAGTCTTAAAACAAGAACCATCATAAGCAAAGCGAGTTCAAACATGATAAAAAAAATTAAGCAATTTAGTTTACGAGAGGCTTAGAAACACTTAATTTTGCTTAGAAAAAAAAATTATACTACACTGTGCTCTACTTTATGAGACTATTTTATAAGAAGCATTAAAATATCAAATAATTTATTTTTGGCAAATTTTACGATTAAAACTATTTAAATCCTTAGACTCATTTTAACTAATTACTCCTTTTGATTATTATTACAACAAGGTTCTTCCTAGACATTGCATACAAAATAGTTTAAAAGACTGAACACTCATATTTGAAAAATTTAAGTTTGACGGATTTTATCCATTTATCTATCAATCTCGGTGCGCACAAAAAAAAATTCTGCAGCTTTGAGATTCGCATCAACTTCCAAAAATTTTCAATCTGTAGAAAGAAAAATCAATTGTTTTCACTCAAAATCATTAAAGACAATTCATTTTCTTCTAAGGTTTTAAGTTCATTTGGTTCTATTGACTCATGCCATCTACAAAAAAAAATAGCAAGTTAAACTGAAAGACTGCAGCGTACCTTAAATCTGCCCAAGGTGAGGAGATTTTTAAACATTTTTCAGAACTTTTAATTGCCTTTTTGAAACCCACAAAATTTATTTTCAGGAATGACCGTCAACTCCAACAAAATGTTGTGAAGCAAAATTACTCAAGCTTAGATTTTTTGGAAGCATTTTGTCTAATAAATGTATCCCCACTCATTATTCGTAGATACTACCACGAAGAAAATTTTAAGGTTGGTTGGCCAGAATCGAAAAATCTTGTGATCGGGCTCTCAGTTTAGTCAGTGAATGAAATTATTAAAACAAGCGTCCACAATCCATCTCAAACTAGAACCGCCCCTGAAATAAAATGAAACACAAAATAATTAAGATGACAGCGGGGTCAATTTTCTCATTAACTTACCGATATAGATCTAGGCAAGCAATTTTTTGAATTTTTTTGATTTTTTTTACACTTAAAAAACGCCCTGTTTTGCCCTAATAAACAAAAAACCAAATGCAAACTTCTAAAAAACAGAAGAGAGCAAGGTTGGTTTTGAATACACTTGTTGGAAAACTTGAGGTTTTTTGGTTCGCGGGGTTTATTAACGCCAAATGCACCTTTGGAAAAACTCAAAAGCAGGTTGACCGAATATGAACTTATGGACCCGGATTCGATTTTTGGATAGTCAGTCGTTCAATTTTTCAGAGGCGGTTGTATAAGGTCTAACAATCCCAATTGATAATTCGCTACTTATGACTCATCAAAATTTGACTATTTAAAATATTTGAGGTAAAAATAAATTTTGTAAAATGGCATTTTTACTGAAGAAAAATTGAAACTCAAAATTTGAATTGAAAAAAGTTAAATGTAAGAGCTTCTGTAACTGAACATGAAGATATTTTAAACATGAATAATAAAATGTCAACAATATTGTTTCAACAAATGAGCCATCAAAATGGTTATTACATAAAATTGATTGCAATTAAGTGAAAATGGTAGAGTAACAATCAAACTCTATTCAATTATTTTGTTGTTTCATAGAAACTGACCTAAAAATTACTGAATATTCGATTGATAACCACGGAGTTACGGTGCGGTGTTCTGGTGTTTTTATCAATGTGAAGCTTATTGAAAAAAAAATTAATAGATGATTTGTTGCTCCCGAATGTTAGAAAAACTTTGTTTCACTTGTAAATGGTGAAAGCTTCAATTATCAACAACAATTTTTTTTTTCGCTATTGAATGTTGCCATGACTTGTAGATGATTGAAAAATAAGCAAACAATCCAAAACAGAGG